GATGACAGCGGAACTCGTTATCCTCCAGTACTAGCGTGACCATTTTGAATTTAAAAGAAGATTACCCCGAGACGAGTTATTGAAATCTGACGAGAACGAGTTATTGAAACCTGCACTATCTCCGTAAGGAAGATGCCGTTTCTGATCGACTGATGCTTTCAAGAATTTAATGGTCCTTGATTTAGGTGACTTTCTGTGCAGTCTGAACTTATAATAATCTCCTCTTTGTCGAACCTTCTTGGAAGGCGAGGCGAATATTATATTAAGAAAAGAAGTGCGAAGATTATATAAATCATGCAAATCCCGGTTGCTTTCTTCATTAATCGCGTGCGTGTAAGTGATATATAATAGAAGTTCTCTATTGAAATAATTTTTTAATAAATTTATACATAAAAATAACTAAAATTTTATTTAATCTATTATAAATTTTAAAATAAAATATAGAGGGAAATACTATGATTTTTAGAGAACAATTTACAATTTGTTTAAATAAAAATTACGCTATCAATTAATGTTAACTTCGAAATAATTTCAATCTATTTAAAATATTCAATTATCCATTGATATCTAATTCCAATCGGATGCGATATATAATTAAACTCAAAGCTCTTTTTCTATTCGCTCAAATAACGTTGCGCTCGGTTTGACGACTCGGCAAATACAAAATCTGTTAACATAGTGGCTATTATTTCACTACGGGGAACAGGACTCCTTTTGTCAGCTTTCCACCCATAGTCTTTAACTATGTACGAATTTCTCGCTGTTGGACAACTATAGAAAACATTTCCAACAGACGTGTCACAACTGTCGTACATTATTCGACACTTTTCTCATTCTCGATAGCTGATGCTTTTAATAGTTTATAAAGCAAGCAGTCCGAGTAAACGCGAATTGATTGAGTTTTGTGGGTTAACGGGCAGTACCCGGTCGAGCCTGCTCCTATATCGCGTCGACCTACCAACTCCGACTTTTGACGTTCCCGACTGAAGCTTTCCTCCATCTTGAAACTACTAATCGACTATGAATTTAACAGATTGAGACACGACAGCTAACCGACACTCTTCGCCATTTCTTCTGACCCATCCTTCCTTCCACCCACTTCCTTTTCCCGGCTTCCCATCTTGCTCCGGGCAGCTTCGGGGTCGATACTACTATCGCACTTTACTTTCCAGCCCCGGGCTCTTTTCCTTTCTTTCTCACCTCGTTTCCACCTTTGGGGATGAAGGCCACTTACTCGAGCTTTTTCTCTTTGACCTACTGCTAGCATCGACACGCAGATCCGTAATCCCTTAGCACGAAACACGATAACTAATGAGTTACTCTTTTAAGATTTACGTTACGGACACAAAGTAATGATGATGGTTCGGTCAGTCCATTATATTATACCGCAATTAATTTCGTATCAAGCTCAAGTCTTTGATCTCTCAACGGTTTGTTTATAAAAAAATATAATCGCAATATATGACGTTGCTCACGTGAAGTGACCTTTCGCTATCGCACTTGTATCTTTTTATAAACTCGCAGAATGTTAAACTGTAAATGGTTGAAAGACGATATCATTTTTTAAAACAAAACCTTACGTATTTGAAACAGTTTTGGAAACATAGATGCATCGCGGATATTTTTTATCGCTTTCACGTCATTACTATTTTTTTTTTTATTTTATAAAGCTTCGTACGAATGGATCTGTGTAATGCATCGCGGAGAGAATTAATTTTTGGAATAAAAAAAATAGATATTTACGCAGACACAGGGTGTTGCATATAGAGAGCCGAAATAAATAACAAACCGCGTCACCGCTGAAAATGACTCTATTCTATTTCCGTATAATACCGAATTTCAGTCTTTCCACGCTTTTTTTTACCCGTCTACTTCTGACCTGCTACCGAGCAGCGGCAAAAGTTCGCACGAGCTGTGGTAACCGACGTATTTGGAGCACTCACAACTAGTTCGCGAAAACAGATTGTTGGTTACTTCACGATACTTTCTAACGAGTGCATTTTGATGATGACTTGCAAAGTTGCTTAAAATATATTCCGACTGTCAAATGATACGGAAATCTTGAAAAGCTCTGAAATAATCAAAAATTCTTAATAAAATTATATAAACTAGTTATGGACTCTTTATTGTTAAAAACAAATAAATAAAACATAAATTAAAGGCTATTAAGAGTCAAACGCAGTTAACAATGCGAAAAAAATTATCTTGAAATAATTTTGCTATAAACGGATTCATGATAGTGACGCGGTTAAACAAATAAATATTAAATATCTATAAAAATATAGATAATGAATGAATAAATAATTTTTTAAAAATGGCAAATATAAGTTATATGCGATTGTCAGGTCAAAAGAAATAAATTTAATATATAGAAAATTTAATCATATATGTATAATATCAATATTTTGGCTTATACTTCGAAATAATTTTGCTTATTACATGTGTTCAGTTATTTTTATCATGTAAGAGAGAGTGTAAAAAAGATAACAAAAAGTCTGTGAGCGACTGTTTGAAGAAACGAATAATTGATAATTTCCTCTTTTTTCACTCCGTATTTCTCTATTTTTAGAATCTTTTTTTCTTACGATGCAATACAGTGCAAAATGGATATCCGGTCTATTACAGTTGAATGAGACAAGTAGTCATATATGATTATACAAATTTGTCTTCTTTTATTGTACTTAAGGGTCGTTAATAATTTAATTGCCGTCTATTAAATACGATAATCAGTAAATGATGAATTTGTCTAATTGACGAAATCATTTCGTTCTCACCGAAATAACTTAAATCTTATTGAATTAAGCATTTCCTAATCGCATGTGCGATAATTCTACTTCTCGTTTATTAACGAAGGTTACCAACGAACGTGAAGGTTCTTCCTTGATGAAGAACCTTACGATCACGAAAAGGTTTTCACTTAGAGAAATAGATAATGTCGCGATTAATCGACTACTTGTTGAAATAACGATGATCCCTTTTAGCGGCAAGACCATCGAGTTCTCGAAATTTCCCTCTAAAGCTATATCTGTAGAGCATGTACATCCTAAGTTATGCATGAACTGTACACATGGCGCACTGTAGATTGTATATAGCGGAAACGGACGTGCATCATCTATACATATACAAATGTCCTGTTCCTATTACATGTATTTATATTTCATGTCCGCTTATTTAGAGCATGCTAAATTTACGGTAATAATTATCCGCATTGGATTAAATGCGAGTTAATTTTAACAAGGCTCGATGTGATCGAGAAATATAAAAAAGTATTATAAGTTTATTTCCGGGATAAAATTACACTCTTATATAAAAGCGAATGCATTCTCCCTGTAAATGGAAGCTCGTATTCATCGTATTCCTTTCAATTTTAATCTTTGCCTTTAATATATTTTTCATATCTTTCATCGCGTGGCGTGAATGCATTTCTACGCTTTGCTGCATGTTGCACATCACTTCAGAAGTGAAATTAGAGACCTCTACGCAGTAAATTTTATAGTACACATATTAAGTATATGTATTATATCATTAATTGTATCGTATTTTATATAATCATGAAAGAACATACTCAATGTATACATATAAAACATTAACACGCACACATTTAATAATACTTATTAATTTTTAAATTTTGATTTTGAGAAGAACATTTTGAAGAGTGAAACACATTTTCTCTCAATTTGTAAACAAGAGTATATATTTAGTATTGAACAAAATTAATTCTTCTATTTTGCATGGTAATTTTTATCTTTGACAAAATTTTGTAAATAATATTTGTATAAGATACAGTATATGTATTTGCATGAGATTACTTTTTTTACTGTTTTTAAATTAATTAATATTTTGATTATTGTAATGAAATGCATATATACTCGGATTGTGAAATTCTCGCATAATGTTATTGAATAAAAAGATTAAGTCTTGTTTTCTATTCTAAAATTTTGCACGATGGAGAATTAATATTTGCATTTGCATTGCAAGCCACTAACATGATAGATTAATAGCATTTACAAAAACTTGGGAAGGACTCTGACAGGCTGGATAGATTTTAGATTCAAATGTCTTCTAAGTAAATTAATAAATCATATTGTTCTCTTAAGGTTGGAGATTGTAGAAGTAAGTCCGTAGTAACATATATTTTGACAAAAGCGACAGTATTGTACAGTATATACGTTTTGTAGAATTAGATACAGGGGTAGAACGTAGCTGTGCATGCGACGAACTTTAATGTATCTTGCGATCATTTCGAAGTTGCATTTTCAATCTCGTCGATTTATGCTGAGATTTTCTAACATTGTAGAAATTGACAATACGAATAAAGAAGTTTGATATGCGACTCACGCAGATCGACGTTTTGTAAATGTCTCGCGCTCGGCTTGGCGTAAAATGAGAACAGAAGACGTGGAGCAGGAACGACATTTTTCTATTGTCTGATCGCAATCGGAAACTCGGCGAAGCGCGGAATTTGTTACGAGCGTTGCGAAATTTCCTCAAATGCAACGAACTTGCTCTAAAATATATAATGTACGGTGGCATTAATGTAGTAAATAGTAAAACATATATGTAGTAAAACCGAGTCAATATTTAACAAAACAGACACGCTATAAACGTTGTAATTAGTGTGGTCAAACATGGTCTTCGCAATATATCTATACTTTTTGTCCATAATATAATTACTCCGACGTCAAAATTATTCCCATGTTTATTATTGTCAAATTTCTTCAACGAAACCATACTTGCTTATTGCTCATTGAGTATAAATCACATAACAATGCTGATTTTACTGATAATAAAATTTCACCACTTACCGACTAATATTCGCGAATTAAGAATTGAAAATTGAAATCACTTTATTGCGTCATGTCTGAAATTTTATAAAAATTATACTACGGAGAAAACGCCATGCATTTTGGTTGTAAATTCGACTACAAGATGATCGCACAGTTAAGAGTTAATGCATCGTGCTTCTGCTCTCATTAACCTGCATCTCTGGTGCTGTTCAGGCAAGGTGGACGAGAAAGCGACGCAGCTGCATGCGATAGCGTCACTGAAGGTGCTACTGGATGCCACCAGGCCGCATAACGGCGCCGCGACGTCGACCGCCGCCCATTACTCCGGCGCACCCTCGAAAGAGACGACTCTGCAGCTGCAGCAGGGCTCACAAGGCACCACTACCACCACCACAACTACGACGACCACTGCCGGCACTACTGCCGGTATTCAGGAACTTCCGAACGGCGGTATCGCCGCTGGTTTAGACGCTGGACTCGATTCGGTAAATATCGAATATCAATATCATGCCAAAAATTCGAGCGTATCCATCGATTAATTTTTATTCATTATTTTGGCATCATCTATTAGGATTATTAAAACAGAGCTGTAAGTTCTAAAATATTTTGTTTAACCCTCTACCCGTATTCATTTGACTATGTTTAGAGCCAAAGTAGAACCGACATAAAATATTTATTAAAACACTTGTATATTTTGCCATAGTCTTTTATTAATCAAATAATGAAATTTATTATTAATTATTTAAAAGATTACGTAAGTATTAAAAAATAATTACTAAATAATTTATATATAATATATGTTAAAGTATGTAACATCAATCTCTTTATTACGGCAATTGATAGAGGAACAACATTTTTTTATTTACAATTTGGAATTTCGTAGTACTAATCGTACAGATGTACAATTATCCAAAAACTTTCACTTTGTATCCAAATGACCCGTTGCTGTAATCAAGGATTAAGTATAGGATGATTTAAAAATACGTAAGTTGATAAGTGGAGTACTCAAGAAGGACACTCCAAAAGTATTCTCATTTTATAGTTATATTTTTTACTAACATTTTATATGTAATTTAATTAATTATACCTTTATGAGATAGAAGAATGTAAAAGTATAATGAACTTTAAGACTTCCAGGCATCTAGGCAATACTTTTTATTTTCCTTTTCCAGAACAAGGTTTCAAAGAAAACCTATACTTTAAATGAAATGGCCACCCCACCTACCCACTTTACTCGCTCAAAAGTTAAAATCTCTTATAATGATATTCATACAATGATTTTTTTTGTATCTCTTGAAATTTTAATACGGTACGATTTTATAAATGTAACTAGAAGTAATGAAAATTATAAACACTATTTTATATGTCATTGAATGAAATCAATCAATGTGTTCCCGAATTGTAAATGTTCCTCAAAAATTTATTTTGCAAGTGAAGGAAAGACTCGCGTACGCGAATAGAAGAATCTACGATCCGATTCGTTATACGGTGTACCTCGACTCGAGAGATTGGAATAGTTTCGGCATTTCCCATGCTACGCGCCGTCGTAAAACAAAGAGGCCGAGAACACGTTGATTGGAATTTGTCGTTCCACTTTTCTTGACAAAACGTTTGATTTGCCGGCAGTGCATCTGTCGTCACATTTCTCGTGAAAACTCGCATTCGAATACTTATTATTTTCCGATGATCTTGCAAAAATATTTCAAGAGAAAAATAACTTCCATCCAAGAATAAATTAGTACGATAGGCTAATTTTAGGATTAGTATAACTTCGCAATGACTGTCGCGTTCCTCGTAGCACGCGTTGCAAAAGGGCACGTTAGTTCGATATCGTAACGTTCTACTTTCCATTGTGAAATGTTTGCTTCTATCACGACTTGGATATCCTGAATTAGAATAGGCAGTTTAATTCTCACAATACTGCGAATCACGCGAAGTAATCTTTTTTAACTTGCACGTCGAAATATGTATGGTATATTTTGAAACTTCTCTATTTTACTTTCACTAGTATAAAACTAGAACGATAGAACCTTAAAAGTGTCAACATTTTATTTATAAATCAAAACTAGAACACGTTAAAAGAATCAAAATGAATTAAACAAAGTGTTTGAAACAGTAATAAAAAATGTTTAAGTAGAGTGTTAATGTCACAGTGCTTACACGTTCCTCTCCGAATAATCTTGTTACTCACCAATTAAGGTTACTATTGAAGCAAAATTTAAAACAACAATGTTGCTTTCTTTTTAGCTGATCAAACGTCGTGTCAGTAAACGGCCCGCAGAGTAATAAGGATGAGTCCCTAGAGTAATCAAAGTTAGCTTTACGCTCGGAGCCTTAAAGCGCAAGAGTATAAATCGGCAGTGTTCATCCATTAAGTCTTATCAGGACAACCGCAATTTTCACCCGCGAACTTAGCGATCATAAATCAAAGTGTCGCTCGATATTTGTCGGTTTCGAACTTTAAAAGTTCACCCAAGGTTATTTCGACTACGTCGAAATCGGTCGCGTCGCGTCGCGCCATTACGAGGATGAAATACGCGAAAGTGAGTTCATACTGTGGCGCGTCTCTTTCGCAGAGAAATTCGATCGGATCTCGCTCAGTCCTGGCATGAGTATACACACGATTGCTGTCGAAAGAAGAAAAACGAAGGTCGATGGTCAATATCACTTCTTACCTATCATTTGACACGTTATTCTCGCGGTGGAAAATTTTTTTGTCATTTTGTCCCTCAGGGAAAGAACAATTGGAGAACAATCGGTACAATCGAAATAATAAAACCGCAACGAGCGATATTACTTGTCTGAACTTCCCCATTGCTCATCAGATGATATCGTGTAGAACTCTACCTATACCCTGGCGCGGACAGAGATAAATATTCAATAATTCTTCCCGACGACACGTCGCGATAGGAACGCATATATTTGAAGACTTCGCATTATCTTGGCCTCCAACTTCGATAAACCGTTTTATCGTTGCTCATCTCGCCTTCGACGTCTTTTGCAGTCTTCGAAAGATCTCAAAGTGACATCGCGAATTATAGATCCGACAACGAATGAATAGAAATCCCATTTTTAAGTCACTTAACGCTCAACTAAGTTTATGATCTTTTAAATTGTACCCCCCAAAAAATAATCTACTATTTTTTATGGAATATTTATCGTCGAAACATCGGTATAAAATTCAATGAAAGTAATTTCCATTATTTTTTCATATTTTTTCCCGTACCTTCCAGACAAGTTATAAATTCCGGTTAGATAGAAAGATTGATCTTTATTTGTTGATTCATCAAACTATTTTTTTTTTACATTTTTTAATCTTTTGTCAGACAAAAGATGCTGCATCAATCAGAACAAATAATAATCTAAAAACCTTATTCCTAATGAATACTCCGAGTCAAGTTGCAATAATGTATCCTTGATCAATTTCGCCGTGTAAATCTGAATGACAGTACATTTTGAATGATAAAAATTTATATTGAAATGTCGAAGAAATAAAAAAATGACTTGATAAATTCATTATACATAAAGGCCAATCTTTCTATTGAACTGAAATCTATAATTTGCCTGAAAGGTGAAGGAAGTTATTGAAAAATAATGGAAATTACTTTCGTAATTAAACCACGTCGGTATATTTCAATAATAAATAATTTTCATAGAAAATGTGAATTATTTTTTACAATATTTATACATCTAATGCGTAAACAGATTGACTTTTAATTGTGATGCAACGTAAATACTAGATTGACTTTTAATTACGATGCAAAATAAATTTTCGATAAAATGCTGAATATTTATAATAATTTATACGTACATGATTAATTTTTGTTCTGATTAAAAAAGAATTGTCCCCCGTGGCGGTAAAGCGAATCAGTCGTCGCAACAAATTGCCATGCTATGCACGACCTCGATTTAAATCGATAGTTTGCGCCATGTCATTTTCTTGCGTCAAACATTCGAGCTTTTATCGCCACATTAACATTTATCTACCGCGCGAGATACTCGCTTAAAAAATGCATCGCATGTAAGCGTGACACGTTCACCGTATCGAATCTTATCCGGCATCGCCCTTCACTTTTTACGACTCTTCGACTAAGATCAACTCAGGCAAATCTGATTGAATCAGCCACGATATCCTGCGCGAGCTTCCGTTAAAAAGATATCGCAAAATTGTAAAACGTCGCAACTTTTAGTACGCAATTCTATTTTAACGCTTTTTCAACGTCTTACTTGGTCGTGAAAAAGAGATATGGGTTATATATGATCCATACAAAAATATATCTTTTTTATTATTACAAATAAAATTTGTTAATTAAAAAAAATTATGCAACATTAATATTTTTTATCAACGATAATTAATTGGCATTTGTTAATTAAAATATCGACAAATACACATACATGTAGTGTTTGAATATGTAGCATTTGAGAGAAAAAAAACCATACTTTGATATGAAATTGGTTTTAAAATTGAAAACAGAAATTGGCTTTACAATTGAACAGAAAATATAGAACACATAATGTGAATAAAAATGACTTAGATTACTAATTTATACCAGCAGATATTCACTCATTTAAAATGTCATGCAAAAGAGACCATGTTTTTGGCCGGAAACACTTCCACAACAATCGCTGTGGTATAAAAGAACTCTGGTTTAATTGTTCTTGCATCATTCGTCCTTATTATGACGTAAAGGGAGATATTAGAGGATGACGAAACAATTTCCTCGAGCGATGCATAATCGTTGCAATTCAGAGAGCTATTCTGCGGAAATATAAATCGGAACTTGACTATCCAGAGTTCTCTCGAGGATATTAGCCGGTGCTGTCTGGTATCGTGGCGCGTGGACGAAGCGGCGAGTAGTCTCAGGCGGCTTTGTCCTAAATGAGCGGAGAGACGGCCTTTTCATTTTGAATGCATTGGCGAATCTGGGTCAATGCTGCATCCCACCCATCTATTGCGCGTTTGCAGCCCCGCGCGCTTCCCACGGATAATCGAAGCAAAGTCACCAACCCTGCAGTTTTCCACGGAAGTTTACGAATTTGTGGGAACGAGCGTGATGCGCCTGAAAAAGCTCACACGGTGATTCGGTCCAGCAAGTAGCCTCGTTAAGTTTACAACGGAGTGACGAGATTCTCAAGATTAATGGTCCCCGAGGATTAAACGAGGCAGAGACGATTTAGTTCTTTTATCTTCTGAAATTTCGCAAAGCTTCCGAATCTTGTCTTAATTTGCTTCTCAACATTTAAAATATAATTTATTACTTGCAGCGACGTAATTTATTCCTTCGGTATACGGATTATTTAGTTGTAAACATGAGGATAAATCTCATACATTACTCGAGCGACTATTGTATTTAGCAAACACAGTAGTCCTTTAATGTCGATCTCCGCTAATGTACAAACATTTGAAACGAGGATTAGTCCAATGTACAAGAACCTTCTTCATTTCATTCTCAAATGCGATTATGCTAGAAATGATAATATTTTACAAGTACAAGTTTTGCGGTGTCGTGGTTTACTTCAGAGAACAACAGAAAGATACTTTGCAATCAGATTGTTATTAAAAAGATCTTTGAGTTTTATTTTTTTAATAATGCATATAAAAACGTTTTATTTGTATTCTTCAGAATTACAATGAACGTTTCATCTTAAGCTTCAATTAAATAAATATGATTTGCGAATATTTTTTAGACTGAAATTGAATGATAAAAAAAGTGATTCTAAGAGAAAACCTATTTTCTTAAATATTTGTTTACAGGGCGAAGAGGATGAACCTCCAGAGGCCTTGAATATGGGCTGGCCAAGCAGTCCAAGAAAAAGGCTAACGTACATTTTAGTCGCACCAATCTTATTTCCTCTTTGGTTGACGTTACCGGATACGAGAACACCTAGAGGTAATCAATGATCGTCTTTCAATATCTATCATAAAAGTTCAAGCAACCTATAATAAATCATTTTTCACTCTGGTGAACATCTTCTGATTTCTAATGTTACGTTTTTCAATTTAAAAAGTTTATATGTGATTAAGATATATAACTGCATCTTAATATTAGTATATCTTTAAGCCAACTCGCTCATCACTGAAATAATTTTACTTAATAGATCGATTTTTCAGAGTATATCTTTTTCTTATAATGTTTTTAATAAAAATATTTAAAAAATGTTATTCTCGCTATTAACATGATTCTCTAAAGGACGATAGCTTCATTAATGTGCTTTCAATTTGTGTGCCTATGTATATGACTCATTTTAACATATGTAATAGTTATACTAAAACAGATAATAGATGTAAGCGAATTGTTGGAATTAATTTTGTATAATTATAATATTGCATATATTTAATATAATATTTTAATTATACTTACAGTTTCAATGAATACTCATAACACACCACTTTCATCCTAATACAGACAAACTTAAAACCTTGCAATATTACTCGATTCACATAAATACCTCTAAGTTGTGACATGTGTCTTTCAAAAAATGTTTACTATATTTTAATAATTAAAATAATATTATTTTCTTTGATATCGCTACATTAATAATTTAACTTAATAAAAAATATATTTTTTATTTATTTGTGACACAAATTTTGTGTCAATTTTCTTTATAGTTTATTTTATTACAAAGATGCATTAAAAAACTGACGATAAATATTTTATAGACAGATTCTTTGTAACATTTTAAGATGAAAAATCCAATACAAAAATGTCGAGACTATAATAGTTTTTAAATGAAAAGAGTTTAAAGATTACGAATAATGTGGCTATAATTTCGTGTGCTTAGGGATAGTCAGTGTAAAGGTGTTTTTTCGAACATTGCATGATAAATTTTAATAATAATAAAATGCAATACTTTTACACTGACTCGTCTTGCCATTATCTTTGTGCAAGCAAAATTCTACCCACGTACATTCATACTTTTTGAACTCTTCCCATTTAAAAATTATTATATTGCTTCGACATTTTTGCATTAGACTTTTTTTTTTGTTTTAATAAAAATATTATAAAGTCTTTAAAATATTTATCGTTAGTTTTGGGGGGAACAGTCTATATACACACAAACAAGTAGTATGTATAATATTTTATTACACACACACACACACACACACACACACACACACACACACACACACACACACCCCTGTTTGTATTACGCATAATTTCTAATTTTGTAAAATTAAAAAAATACGTACTCACGAAAATATAGATATCTATATAAAGAATAATATTAAAGCTTTGTGAAAATGAAATGAAACTAAATTTTCTCAGTCATTTGATCGATGAGAAGTGGCTGAGTATTTACACTAACACCAATGTTCCATCCGACCTTCTCTTTCAATGTTTTCACTGTTGACTGTTCGAACAGTTATATTAGGTTTTTTCCACACTGACAAATAATCGGTCTTGAATAGAAGTAAAATAAAAACTGGAGCAGTTTCAAAAGCAAGACCTTTTGTCAAGCGCAAGAGTGTTTTAGCAGTTTCATTTACATATCTTGCATCTATTGCAAGATCTAAACTCTTTTCACCTTGAAAAGTCAATTAGGATATTTATGAAACGAACATATAAAAGTCTTCAAGGACAGAGAATTTAATTTTTCAAAAGTGTTTTAATCAGTAAATACATCTATAAACTTGCAACGATGATTTAATGTCTTCCGCTCTGCTTTCTGTCTTCATTTCGAGCGGGTGCTTGTGCTCTTTATCTCTATTCTTTGATAATAAGGAGATGATATTAAGATGTAGGTAATATATCAAGATAATTTCCACTGCAATTTCATAACTCGTTAATAGAACATATATTCACGTATAATATATTCTCCATTCGCGCTCGGCTGCAATAAATTGTGAACCGCAATAGATATCCGATCTGCGTAAGGAAATATTAAAATTGGCGGGATTCAAGAATCTCACGCGATATCTAGATTTAATATTATATACTCGATTATATATTGATTGTTACATGTATACCTAGTAACTCACTTTTCTGATAGAAACGTGAATGATGATTTATAGTTCGCTGAAAATATTATCTGAAGAGGTATAGAGAAACGTTTCGAATTCACCATTAATTACGACCGAAAAAAAAACTCTAGGCTACCGTATTTTTTTTAACCTGCCGGCGCGCGCGCGCGCGTCGAGAGATCAGATTAAATTCTATCAATCAGCGTGAACATCGCGGGATGTTTTGCTGCCGCCCGATATCGACCCCGTGGTAATATTAACCGAACTCCAGGAATTCAGGATTTCGAGCCATCGATTTCGTCGAGGTGGAAACCTCATCAATACAAGAGACTAATTAAACGGCACTTATAGTTCACTTGCCGCATGAATTTGCATTTTACTTAACTTATTTACTCTCTTATCATTGTTTGACTCGTAACAGTAATTCGTCGAAGATTAGATGTAGAAAAAAAAGATAAAACGGTTTTTTCTTTCGAAACCTCGCGATGAGAAGGTCGATAGCGGTTTATTCGCGGAAAATGTTACGATGGCACAATTCGGTTGTTTAGCGGGAATGAACGTTTATATTAGATTCGATATGTGTGTCGCATATTGATTTAATAATAAATGTTAAGATCAACTTTAAGCAGGACGCGTTGCTACTGTTATTCAAACCACCATTTATCACGCGTCTCCTGCATTATCTCAACCTATTAGTGCATTTCTATCGCGACATTACACAATACGACGAAAGATGATATTGACACGCTAATTTCGCATTGGGGACTGATTGTTGCACGCGTACAAGATAGCCGTACGCACACGGTACTGAATCTATTGTCAACTAAAATTCCGATATGTCCTTTGAATTTCAACAATCTCGACCTTTAATTACAGACCCATTAATATGAATGTTATCACAATCAATTATTGTAGGGTTATCACAATCAATTATTGTACGCACCGTGAGACACATTTATCAAAAATTGTGAAATTTTGTTTATTAATATATATTTATATAAAAAGTTTGTGTAAATTGAGATATGTCTTTTTGTATAAGTATCGACAAATCTTCCTGACCTTTTTTCAATAATTTTTTAATTTATGAAAGCAGTACATTAAACTATATTGATGCATTGCATGAAACTGTCACACTATTAATACAATCAATACTTTTTAGCACAACTCATTAAAAAATTATCAAAAAATTCCTAATATTTAACGAGAATATAACTATTTTCATATCAAATTAAGATTTATTTTCATAGTGTAACTCTTTCCTGGAATAATTAAAACTGCCTTGGATAAACTTAATTAATCTTACTTAAATTAAGCAAATTAGTTATCCCATAGCATGCCTCTATTTATCAACATTATAAAATTAATAGAAAAATTTTTGTTTTGCATCTCCATTTTCCTGTATAAACTTACTGTAATTATAAGGAAAAATCAGTTTTTTAACAACGTCTGCCACAAAAGTTTGTTAAAGTAAAGAATCGCCTACACGATATATTTCTGTTTTTTCTGAAAATCATTTAAAGTGAAATTCATTTCCGTCACTTTTGAATTAAACTCTCGAGATTCGGTCATTAGAATTAGATTTCGAAACAGATTAGAAATCTCAAACTTCATTCTCGTCATTGTAGCGTGAAAGCACGTAAATGCGGCATTAAAGTTTGCAAACTGACGGTTCTTATTGACTAAAGTTTGCCTACCGTTATATCCAGACAAGAAAATATCCAATATTAGAAACAATTACTTATTTAACAATTACTTCATAAATATTTTATTGTAAACACTTCGCTGCGAAATTACATTATCACTAAATATTATTAAAATAATTATCATTTAATTGTACATCTACAATCTTTATATTTTCATTTAAATTCTACTTCCAATATACGTTTAATTTCCAAAAATCTTTTGATCAAAGTATGTATTTCATGTCTATTTCTCGCAGTGCATACTTTAGTTAGCCAATGTATCATAATGATGTCAAAATGGTAATCGACCAAACACATTTAGCATACTTAAACTACTCCCGTTAATGGAAACTATAACCGAGTGATGTATGGGAACGAAATGTTGGCGCCACGTGGTCGACTGCATAATTCCGAGAGAAGAAATGTCCCGTGCTATCACAGAGATTGTTGTCTTTACAATTCTGATGAGAAAAATTGTCATAAAGTCATTTTTGATATCGATGTTGTCCTCCACGATGATTAATGTAATTTCCAAATCATAGGATCTGCAGAGAATATGTAACAGATGTCATGCATCCACGCGCTTAAATTTCAGGGAAGAAGTTCTTTCCGATAACGTTCATCGGCTCGATCTTCTGGATCGCGGCGTACTCGTACCTGATGGTCTGGTGGGCGAATGTCGCTGGCGACACAGTGGCCATACCGCCGGAAGTGATGGGCCTGACGTTCCTCGCAGCTGGCACCAGCATACCGGACCTCATCACAAGCGTCATCGTGGCGCGAAAGGGATACGGCGACATGGCCGTGTCGAGTTCCGTCGGCAGTAACATCTTCGACGTGACCGTTGGGTGAGCATCCAAACTCTAATGGAATTCTCGCATCACAACGATGTTTTGCGTATCGCATCTCGCTATCGAATCTCGCTATCGCGTTTTGTTCCAAAATATTTTCGAAAATTTGATTTGATTTTATTGATCACTTCATTCACATTTTAAACTTATTTAGTTTTATATACAGAGTTCCCAAAATATATAGCAAGAAAAATTGTGTAAGAAAGTTATTTATAAATTTTTATTTTTTAAGTGATAATTTTTGAAATAATAAAATAATTGCTTAAAATAAAAATTTAATAAAATTACTTTTTTTAACTCTCTTTTGAAAAGCTCTCTTTTTTGCTGTAGTATTTTTAATCACAAATTTTGGGACACCCTGTATACTACCACACATTTAATAATGAAACTTTTTATATCAAAATACTATTTCGTGTTAATAGTATTATATGAATATTCATGTAATTCTGTCATTATTCTTTCCGTTTTATTTTACATGTATTATTGTTTAACTGTTACGATCTCTATGTCGTAAAATATTTTTTGATTGATTTACAAAAATAGAAAGTTTTAACTTACTCATAGTAGAAACTTATCGTAAAACTGAAATATTTTTGAAAATGTAGTAAAAATGAAAAGAGTAACAGAAAATAATATTTCATTAATATAAAACGTGGTAAAATAAAATGTTAGAAAAACAATAAAGGTACTCATAAAAATACACACAATTGGCTAAAAGTTATACTATTATATTTCAATTTTAGAGATATCGCAGCAACACATATATTTCTTATTGATTCCATATGTAAATAGATTTATGATATATTTCTCGATATATCATATTATACGACATATATATACAAATCAGAACTGCTAGATTTGAAATGGATAAGAAAGGATACTAGGAAGCAAGGATATGAAGTGTCAGATTGATTTTACGATAGAATTGTAACTTTAAAAAAAAAGAAAAGTTTAACGAAATGTAAATTAGTCTAATTTATAAATTGAATAATGTAATTAAAAGTGCCAAGAAAATGCAAGGATATACATACATTCTCAACACGTTTTATATTAACATTTACACATTTTATATTAACATTTACACGAGTAACAAAAGACAGTGCAAATTGAAGAAATTTTAATATTATTTCGATATTGCAATTAAAATGTAGACGCTTCGATTTTATTCACAAACGAGCTCAATATTTGATTAGCTTCAGCGAAAATGATATTTTGCAATGTTTTGTTGGATAAATATTGTGTAACCTTAAAATATATACATATAACTTAATTTTACGATTAAACACGAGGAGAAAATAATATCAACGTGATCACGTTATAATTTTTCCAAAATTTTCTTGTGCCTTGAGAGAGCAAAACAATGTAAGATATCAAAACAGTATGTCGCAACTAAGAAATTTAATACACTCCTAAAAGCATCCATAGCTTTCCTTGTTTTTGAGCTCGAAACCCATTTGCGACGTACTATATCGAAGAATCGATTAACGAAAAGGGCCAGATGCCAAAGAGGTCGGCGAGCCTATTCGGGAAAGGATATCAATCTCAAATTTCAGTAACGTTAATCGTTCGAGCGAAAAGAGAAAAATAGCATGCTGGGATAACATTTAACATAGCAAAAAAATATCAATCCGGTTACACTGAAAATATCTAGATTTTCAATCTATTAACAGTAAAGGATATTTTGTTTTTTTTAAATATTTTCTAACTTTGCGTTGTTTAAACTAGAAAATAAAGATTGTTAATTAAAAATTGAATCAATTCTGCCAATTCTCATTTACTTTCGCTTCCATTCATAATACATGAGAAACATTTACCGTAATATTGTAATATTCTGCTTGCATTGGCTAGTGGAAGAAACGATGCTATTGTTATTCACATTGTGCATACAAGAATGTAAACGCAGCCAATGGTTGGCACAGTTATATCGATGTTATACTGAATACAATAGTATTTAGCTTCCCTTAAAATATGCAGTTGCTCTGAAGATATCTCTCTGATTTGAATCATTATGTATGTAACTTAGGTATCATTTATCAACATAGATTTTGATATTATAAATTTAAATTAATTTGAAATTAATTTTAAAAATACTAAATACTTTCACATTTGAAAACTTCAATATCACGTATAATCATGTATTATATTTTTATTTAAATAAGTCAAATAAAAAAATTTAACTTTCTCAATTATTCTCCGACTCTCTTTAATTGCATTATTGCTTCAATTCTGAAAATTTAGACATAATAATGTATAAAATTGTACAGTTAAGAAAACTTTTCATTTCGGTAATTCAGAAAATTCATATTCATTCCTGCAGAATGCCTTGTGTGTTATTTCAAATTTTTTTGCTAGTAGGAAGCGCATTTGCAAGAAATTCTTTCTAATGTTATTTAAATCAAAATCAACCTTGATCTTCAGGAAGTTGATTGACAGTAGAAACGATTGCAGCTCATAAGATATCAACACCAGTGTGTGGAGTTCAATAGACGAATCGAACAATATCGGAATTATTGCTCTCTCGCACGTGTAGGAACACAATGAACTTAATTGTGTAACTTATACGTACCACACACGATCCGCATTATATCAATGTCAATATCTTTACATAAATTTCATATACCTTTACACATATGTACACATACATCTTCTTGCTCATAATGCACACTCACGCGTGCGATACGAATCGGTATTTTGCTGACGATCGAACGGGGTTAGAAGAGACGTGCGGAATTGGTGGTCGGACTGAACCCGTCAAGGCATTCTCGCTATTTCACTGTAATCGCATTCGCTAGTCATTCCTCAGCATTATTATATTGTTAGCGCGGGAAATACCGCGAATACTGTTCCAGACACCAAGACTCATTTTCCGCTGAAAGTTCTTGAGAATCTTTACTCGCAGAATTTCGATTGGTCTCATTACTAAAACCAAGGTCTTGCCCTAAGGAAAAATTCTAATTTAACAAAAAATACGCAATTATTTTGCAATTATCGCGGTTGCTCCCACGTCTTATTGTGGGAGTTTGAGCTTCAAACAAGTACCAAAGTTCGTTAATTTTTAAGCTCGTTAATTTGATATCTCATATGGTCTGCATATTTGTATTATTTCTTTATATTAAAAGTCTCGCTAGAGATTTCGATTTCCGGGATAACGTCATTGACAAGAATCAATCGTAGTAAAATTGTTTCAGAATTATTTCAAGGTCCCAATTTTTATTCATAACATTTTTTTTAAACGATCTTTAGAGGTAAAAATATTATCGACAATAACTATTGCTAAGATATGGAAATTAATTATTTTTCTTTATTTTTTTTTTGTTTTCACGATTAACAATAAGATTCAATCTTTCGAAGCTGATCGCACATCCCTTTATGACACCTGATTTCCTGGCAATCGCACACGAGATGAAACATCGAATCCTTCTCGTTGATGATCAATCATAGCCACGCATCCGCTGACCGATTGCCAGTTGGCAGACTGCCTGAAAGGGAAGCGGAGAAATATTTCTTCGCATTTGTGTGCTCTGCGTTTTGATTGCACGTCAAACGATATATATCCAAGACACGTCGACAGCATTGTTACAGACGAATATGAATTATAGATACTGTACTTCAAATAATATAGAACACGCAACAATCACTTACACATGCACATGTAGTATATCTGTACTTGATCGATACGATCCGGTTGTATGGCACGTGCAATCATAAAACCGTAATATTTTAATAGAGTTTATAATGCGAGAGATGTAAATGTGCACCCAGAAAATTTTATCGAGAGCACGTGCTACATTTCGTAACTCTATCTCGGAAATTATTTTGAATTGAACATATACTCATATAAAGTTTTGTCTTCATTATGAATATTATCACTATTCTCATCATTAATTATCCTTTCTTCCTAAATCATTCTCCTGTGTTTGAGATATATATTAGATTATAAAAATATTAATTCAGAATTTATTGAATCGTAAGTTGGCAAATGTAATATGACAAATACTTAATGAAAGATTTAAACAAAAACTTTTCGAAATCAGTACAGTGAGTGCAAAAAGTATTTGTATAGGAGAAATTTTTATTTAAAAAAATATCAAGTCTTCTTTATAACATTTGAAAATAAACATTAATCGGCAATTTTGATATAATGAGTACGTTCTGTTTTAATATAATCAAAGGAGTCTACTTTTTAATTGTTACACATCTTTTTAAGTAAAGTTATTGTGAAAAATGTACAGTCTATTTTATTTTTTGTTAATAAATTGCTAATGTTTATTTTTCAAAAATAAGGTTCTTTAAAGAGTTATTCTCTCTGTACGAATACACGTTTTACATTCACTGTACCGTAAATTTTACATAATTTTCTATGTTGCTGTAAATGTTACAGATCTTTTACCAGAATATACATTCATAACATTCTAAAATTACATATTTAATTTCTGTACTAAGAGAAGAAAGTAACAAAATATAAACAATCGAAATAGTAGTTTAAATTATAATCGATACCTATGTTAGTCGGGGCAATGAAAATAGGCTCGATTTGCGCTTTGATTTTGCCCACAGGCTTCCGGTTCCATGGCTCCTATACGGTTTAATCTATGGGAAACCCGTCGAGGTGAACTCAGTGGGCATGGTGTGCAGCATAGCGATACTGTTCTGCATGCTGCTGTTCGTGATCTTGAGCATCGCCTGCTTCAAATGGAAAATGAACAAGAGCCTCGGCTTCACGATGTTCATCCTCTACTTCGTCTTCGTCGCCGTCTCGCTGATGTTCGAGTACGAGATACTGGTCTGTCCGGTGTAGGGCAGCCAAGACAGCGCAACCGCAGCAGAAGTATTAAATCTTATCCTTCAGGGAAAGGATACGTCTGCGAAACGGACGCACACTTACGGGTCTCGTCATCATCGTCATCGTCGTCGGCGAGTCTTGGCCGACGAGAGAATTCTTCCCCGCGGTCGCCGCTTCGAGCCGAGGAGAAAACCGCGCCAGTCATTACCTTCCGTGTGAAGGAGACTTGACATTACGAACGGCAATAGCAGCACTATCTCACATCGCCACTATCACCGATCATCGAGTCTCACAGCAACTTCGCGTATCAGATTACGAAGCGTTTTGCTCTAGTCGCGACAGGTGTACATATTGTATAAAAATCTTGAAATACCTGAAACGAAATACTCGTCTTGTTAAGGATTAACCGAGCGCGCCACTCCGTTCGGGTGCGCTACTTTATTGTTTGAGCATGGCGAGTGCGTTAGTCGATCGTGCCAAGGACCAAACTGTAAGTTTATAATCCGTGAAGGGATTTTTTGGCACAAACTTTTAAGACTCCCTAGTCTTCTTCTTTTTTTCTTCATTCTCGTATAATCTACTTCTTATTACTCATTAAGTACGTGAAACTGTACGTGAAACAAATTGATCACACACAGTATACTGTTATTAATTCACTTGAAATTATTACAATAAAGATTTACAGGACGTTATCTTACAGTTAATAATATTCTGTAAGACTATTTCTAATCATGGCTATCGTCAGATAGCGCTTGATTCGTGCATTTATCGAAACATCACGTTTTTCGAGTATAAATCTATAATAGCAATAATGTGTTAGACTTAAAACGCGATGTTACCAATAATGTTACCGTATAGGTCTTCTCGTTTGATTCCTTGGCGCGTTCACGTCCGCATATTAAACGTAACGTTATCCTTGAAAAAAGTGACCTAACCGCTCGCCGATTTTTCTTTAAAGCAGGAATTCTCTTCGCCTCTAATATCGTAGAATAGCATTATAACTTCTCACTCTGTTGTACTCATGGAATCCAATCTGCGGTGCGGGGTTCGGCGTTCCGTTCTGACGACGAAACGGCGCTCATGAATCTCGAGTGCCGCATACGCCAGGTGCACATTTCAGGCAAGTCATATAACCTCATATATTTTCGTTAACCAAAGTTACTGATAGTATACTATAATATATGCTGCAATATATATTATGTATTATGCAAAAAATTTTTGCCGTAAACGCAGAAAATGCTTCGGTGCTTTTTCACGTTTTATTTTCTGATTTAACAATCATTTTCTAAAATTAAGCTAAAAGCATGTTTGACTGTTTAATATAAAATAACATTCTATATTACTTTATTAAATGTTCCACATTCGTGAAATTACGTGAAAAGCTTGATCAAAAAGTGTTCAAATATTGATTTATTAAATTAATGTAATTCAAATACTCTCTGGCATTTACGTCTCAAATGAAATGGCTGATCGTCGCACCGGATTTTCAACGTCGGAACGGATGTTGTTGTTGATACGTGAATAAGATAGAATAGCAAAAAAGATCAATCGAGAATGAGTTGATTTGTTATTATATTTCCTTTGCTTTTGTTTTGTTGAATCGCTGACAGGTTTGCAGGGAACGCGAGAAACAAACTGATTTGTTTCAATAAAAAAAAATAGATTTATTGTTGCATACCGTTAAAATTTAATAAAAGATAATCACTTATATAAATTATCCATTTTGAAAGAAAGCGCGTTTCCGACCGATTAAGCTTCCATTCTTAAATATTATTATATGTAGGAAGTTTATATTATCGCGAAAAATTGCGTAATGGAACTTTGGCAAATTTTTTATTACTGATTGGTGTAAAGTTAAGTCACAGATACAAAGAAATATCTCGTTCGCGTAAGACATTTAGATCCGATTCCGAACGTGTTTTCTCTTAAATATAATGATTATTATTACTATCGTATAACTATAATCTGTAAGCGACATGCAAAAAAAAGACTTTCTAAGACGCATATAGAAAATTGTTGCAAATTATATACTCGAATTGGTGCATTATGCAAAGATTTCACTCGAGAGTACTCGTGTCGCTTGCTGATGCATTTTACGCGCGATCGAATTCTCGTGCGATATTTTCTCTACTTAGAACAAAAATATCGAAATATACTGCAGATATTTGCACGTGAAATGTAACATTATTACGCTCATACGAAGCGAAAAAACAGATAAATGCCGATATTAAACAAATTAGACATTGCACTTTCCGTGATGTTTCACGTCAGCTTGATACTCTCCGAGCAGTTATTTTTTTGCTAACTTCTTTCAAGTTTTCGATATTGCACCATGACACTCTACTAAGGTACTGTTAGAAAATATGATTACATTATTACGGTTATTACATGTACACAGTGAAGGTAAACGGGTAATAGAATGACAAGTTCATATAGGTGTGTATGTGTGTAAGATTGGGAGAGAGACAGGGAAAAGGAACGAGAAAATGAGAGAGAACGGTAGAATTAAAAAGGAAGGAAGCAATAGGAACATGTATAGTTGAGGCATGACAGAAGTCGGGCGATTTTTAATCCAGGTTACAGGAGATCCGTAATGTATAAAGCGTTTGTAAAGGATACGTTTTAAGGACATAGAGATAATAGTTATAATATGATATCGATTATATTACATATACGAGGTGAACAAAATGTTATTATACATACCTACAGAGTTCAAGAGGGTCACTCAAGCAAGTAATATTACATTTTCGGTAGTCTGAACGCCTAAAAGCGGCCTAGCTTTTTATTAAGCCTACAGCTAATATAAAAATTGATTCGCGACATAAAGAAGAAAAAGACCATAATAAAAATACCGTCTACGTTAATCGATAGAGTGAATTTTAGATTATCAAAATAACACGTATATATACATACAATAGAGAGAGAGAGAGAGAGAGAGAGAGAGAGAGAGAGAGAGAGAGAGAGAGAGAGAAGAGTGTATGTGTGTCTATGTATGTCTCTATGTGTATGTGAAAATTTGGCGATGAAAAATAAGTGGAGAATACATTAATTATACATTATATTATATATACATTTAACGTTATATATATATTTATCGTATTTTGTATGATCTTGATATTGGAAGCAAGGAGAATAGTTTTTGATCTCGCATCTCATGTTCCAGCATTTGTGTCGTATATAACGCGCGTGTGTGATAATTATTACGTTTAACCTTTCAACGCTGTCTATCTTTGATCTCCCAAATCATAGCTATTCTATTCGTGAGCTCAATTATTCAAAAAATTTTGTTCTCTCTCTCTCTCGCTCTCGCTCTCGCTCTCTTTCTTTCTCTCTCTCTCTCTCTCTCTCTCTCTTTGCGATGCTTCAATTCCTCATGCGACGAAAAGTGCCGTGAAACTTCTCTGTCCCACAGATAGGAGAGACCATGATTCCACTATAAGAGAGATTAAAATTGACCGATGATTCGTAAAGTTGTTGATATAAAAATCGAAAAATGTAGGAAAAATATCGCGAAAGATCGTGATATCAATACAACATCTTTTACAATTCCGCCGTGATCTTTTAGTTACATTCATTTTCTTTTACGCGACACATAACAGATTATGGGCGACAAAGAATGGAGTTTAACTACAACGTTAAAACTTTAGAGATTGTACAGATAATTTGCAGCTGCTTACAGAATGCTAACCATTACGGTTACGACACGAAAACAAACAATGGCAGTAATCTTAGGTACAATGCGGTCTTCTCGAATTACCACTACTTAAGATAACGATGCCTCTTTTTATGACACAGCTCATTGCGCTAAGAGAATGAATTTTTCCAGCATGACAATACTCTCTTTGCCGATTAATTCTTAAAAAAAAAAAAGGAAAGCTTATCGTTTTTATTTTCATAAAATTTTATTTCCCAAGTAACGTAACTATTTCGAAATTTTCGCACAAGTGATTATACATAAAACCTTACATCTAATCAATTAATTTTCTAAAAATTTCTAATCAGTGAGTATAAATTATAACTTGGAAGTATCGTGGATGAAACAAAAGAGCACCGTTTTTAAATAGTCACATATACAAACTTTGAAGACACGATCAGACTCTGTAAATAAATAGAAATCAGAGGTCAGAGCGCACAAATAAGTTTTAACCTAGCAATCTGACAAAAATCGAACGTGTTAACTTGTGGCAGGCCGCCCTCAGATTTAGCAACGATCGTCAGTGGAAAACAACGTTAGGTTTCTTCGTGACGTTGAACATAAACGGGGAAATGTGTAACGGGGAAACGCCGGAGAGCACAGTACCGGGGCGTTTTACGCCGTAGTTTGCGAGGCACGAAAAGGATTAGTCTGTCAGTCGGGCGAAACAACGAAGGCGGATTAGCGGTGAATCGCGTGATAAGTCGAAGGTCGGGTCGGAGGGCTCGAAGCGCAGCAGTGTTCGCGTAATTTATGCTTTGTAATATACCGTAGGACAAACATCATCGACATTGGTGAAGCGAGGCAGCTCGTTTTGATTTTTTTTTTTTTTCGAGTATCAAGCCTTTCGATTTGAGGGATCTATCATTTAAATGATACGCGTGTGAAAAAATGACTTGCTTGTCAATTAGTTTACACAAAAGAGACAAGGCAAACAAGTTTCGAATGCTGTTGATTACGATACTTCAGCGACTCCGAGGATCAGTTCTAAATGAAATATGTACTGTATTAGTATAATATATAAGGGCGACCCTTCGAGCCTCAATTCTTACATTGTCAAAAATATATGCGCACATATTCGCGCATAGAGCATGAAGATAGCGAAAGAGAGAGAACCAAATAGAACAATAGATTACGAACGATCAAAATGACATTAAATCGTAACCGATCGAAAAGTGACTTAATAATTTAGTAATCGTTGGAATAATTTTGACGCCATTTTGATGCCATGATAATCTTTGTTCTGCTTTGGAAAAAAGAGAGACAGCAAAAGAGAAACATGGGGAGAGAGAAATAGATTTTATTTCTCTCTCGCGCACGC